AAAACAAAACACGAAAAATCAAGACAAACTCAAACTCAATACTATTGGTATGTTCTAAAAATATTTCAGCTGTTTTATAATATAAATAGTAATCTTTTTAAACTTTCACAACTACTTTTTTATATCTTTTACGCCGTTGCTTGAGCTTGAGACAACGCTTTTGAAACCATAGTTTTCAACGATTATTTAGGCGATTTACAGTTTATCGACAACTAAATATTTCAGTGTTTCAAAAACATGAAAACACTTCGTTTAGATTAAAGAAAAACGAAACCCGACAAAGAATACAAACAACAAACTATTATTTCGTAATTTAATAATATATTAGCAAAGCAGTCACGTTCAGAGCAGGCAAAAATGTTTTATGAGTAAATTATATTTTATTTTTAATACGCGAAACTACTTTGTTTTTTATACAAGGCTGCATGATTTTCACCGTTTTTGTCAGTAACTGCACAGTCTTTTGCTTCGAGCCTTTAATTAAAGAACTTAATATTTCAAAATATATTTCCAAACTACAAATTAGACAGCAACACAAAACCTTTTGACGATGAAAACTTAGTTTTAGCTTTGTTTATACTTTGTAGTTTGCACTCCTATGCTCAAATTCAACATGGCGGATTTATAAGGGCATTTTTGTTTTCAATTTGGACACCCGTCACGTGACCAAGCACGCATTCTAGGTCTAATATTTCTATGCTTCAAGCCTCAGTGAGAACTTTCTCAATGCGACTCAAACCCAGTCCTCATGTGAAAAGAGGAACAAGTCAACGCTCTGCCGAAAGTCGTGGGTTTTCTCCGGGTACTCTGGTTTCCTCCCACAGGGAAAGTTGACTAGGTGGGTTATGTAAAAGGGCCCACAGTAATTGGCATATGCTGTTGTGGTGACCCTGCCCTAGTTGGCAAAGCTAAATAAAATAAAATTAGCTTAATTTGACAAGCCAATTTCATATTAAATTGCCTAAATTTATTAATATTTGTTGAAACCCTTTTGATAAACCAACCTCATTCCCAGGCTCTTTCCTCTTGTGGAGCAAAGACCCTGGCTGAGGCTGGTCACGTGGCACACAGATTCTGTGTGCTAAAATAAAATGTGTGTATGGGTAGGGTGGTAGAGGAGTGTGTTGGTCATGTTTGGAAAATTGAATAAAATTTCAGAATGGTTCAGAATGGTAGCTTTGCCGTACAGTCCATATTCATTCAAAAAAACTTAAAATAACATTACAATTTATTGCATCCTATCTTCGAACATTAACATTAAATTAAGTGTCAAATTACATTTTGAGCATGGAGTTCATATCAAATTTCAAAAGCACATTTATTCAATCGCGTCGATGGCTAGCAAAGGCACGCCAAAAAAGCTGTACAAGAAACGATCTGAATTGACGGTCAGTATTTCACGTTGCAGACTTTGTAATTGTGTTTGTGACCCTCAGCACAGTAAAAATTTATTTGGGAAGCAGAATCAGCCAGTTTTATGCAACGCAAAGTTTATTTACGGTGGCAAGTTACCGCAAGATATCAACCTTCCTCACTTAGTATGTGCGCCATGTGAGCGGAGGCTAAACAATGCCATCCAGTTGAAAAACACCATTTCAGAAACCCAGCGAGTGTTACAAGAAACTATTTGCACAAAACGTTGTGTTGAAATATTGCCATCAGTGTCTAGACAGTTTGCGGGGACTTCATGTCGACGCAGCATCGATTTCAACATTAGTGGAAGTCAATCTGAGAGTGTTAGTCCTACACCATTAGCGTTACATGTAAGTATATTTTGATACTGTGTTTAATTTTAGTAAATTCTTAATGTTTTATATTTCCTTGTGGAATATTTAGCGCCTTGATTTAGTGCTGTCTATATTTACTGTATATCATGAATGATTCATTCATGCATATGAGCATATCTAATGTCAACAATGGTTTCATTCATGGTTTTGTATATAAAAGCTTATAAAATGTTCTGAAGTGGTAGTTATAGTATTGAAAATGTGGACAGTTTATATTAATACCTATATGTATCTTTCTATTGTCATTCAAAGAGTGGTCAAGTCTTAGTTGAGGCAAACAAAGAGCTCATTGAGGTTGCCAGAAGAAGTGAGCCAGACGTTCTCAGACCAAGAGACTGTGATGGTATGTCCCATGGTGAACAACATCCTTTCTAGTCTGGTAGAAAGTACGATTTATCCAGAGAAGGAAAGTCCAGCCATCTGCTTAATTTATGGCGTCATAATGTTCCTGCGGTGCCATGAATTAAGCAGAATTCAATGAATCAACTCTGTTTTGCTGATAGAAGGCCATGCATCTGTACATGTAAGTCATTCTGAAATTTAAATCGTAATACTTGTCAGTGTGGAAAGTTTGCATTGCGCGGAAAAGATATCCACCACACAATATTGATGCTGTCTATGTATTTACTATTAAACTTTTCAAAATATCTGGAGCAGAATTTCCAGTTGCCAGAAAGCCTATTCACAATGCAATTGAATATGTTTACATCAACTGTTTGTTAGACCCTCAAATACTGGTATTTAAAACACAACATAATTAATTCTAATTGTTTTTGTTTGTGGAAACACCACGTAAATTTATTACTGCAAAGCTTTTGATCCGTATTAGCACTGATGAAGATCCGGGCTTACGGATGGAAAGCTTTGCAGTAATAAATTTACGTGGTGTTTCCACAAACAAAAACAATTATATTTTATCGCCATGCAAACATTCAAAGAACTTATAATTAATTCTATTTTCTTAAAAATAATTAACAAAAAGTAACATAATATGATTTTGATACTTTTATTTGCATAATGCCTGTAAAATCTGAACGTTTAACCCATTAAGCTGTATAGCTACTCATCGACGGTTACAATCGTCTGACGTTAGACAAATAAAAAAAAATAAGCGGGGTGCATTGCGGCTCAATGGATTAACTAGAGGCATCAGTCAGATTTTTTGGTTAACCCATTAAGCTGCATAGCTTTCCCATTGACGAGTAAAATCATCTGGCGTTAAACAAGTAAAAAAATAAGTAGGGCGCAATGGGGTGCATTGCGGCTCAATGTGTTAAAAATATATTTGCAAACCAGCATAATTTATGTTGATCAATGTCAATGCAACACAGCATTATTGCTACACAGGAATCACACAGTGCAATAAATTTTACAATTGAAAAACTGATTTTTTTCAAAATTATTGATAAACCTGGTATTATTTGGTTACTGTATGCCATATTATTCTGTACTGATTTTAGTATTTAACTGTCACTATAGTAAATTAAGCTAGTAATATTCCACAGTGTTATAACACAATATGACACACCAAATCCTGGTACAATTTGATAAACCGTTGCTTACTGTGCTCGACTCTGCACTGGTATTTAAAAACAAAGCAAATTAGCAATATGGTAAATTATGTACCAGAAACAGCGAGGAGCAGGGTCTTAGCTAGAAGACTGTGTTGGTCGTGTTAACACAGCCAAAAATGGAAGAACACGGCAAGATAAAACAAATGAAGCTTTATTATGTATGTGAAGACGTGCAGGTTCATAAATAGACTGTTGCTTCTTACAAAAGCAACCTTTTCTCCTATTTATGTTGCAAGAAAGTTTGTAAAATCTAGTTTGTTGAATTTGGCAAAAGTGATGTCCCTGATGTTTTTAGATGTATATAGGTAATGGGAACAATATGGTGTTAAAATGGCTTTCAATGCCCCAAGGCCAAGCTCGCTAAAAAGTGACCGAAACTCATTTTACCCGTGCAGAGCTATTTTCAAGCAAAATTGAAGGTTGAATTTCGGTAAATTGTAGAGCCGCACTGAGTCAAAACGCCTGACTATTTCCAAATTTCAACTAGATCAACAAGTTAAGATACAATTCAGGTACCCTGTTCCAAAAAATAAGAGCATTTGAATAAATCGTGACTAAACGACAGCGGCTTGACAGCACACCAGGTTTTGCTTCTTGTTCGGTCTACAAAATTACACTAAAATCGAAGCCTGAGATCTCCAAATTGGGACGTAAAATTATGCTGAAATGTGCTTGGCTGTAATGATTTATACTTATTTTCAGAAGATCTGAAGAAAAACCTGCGGGTATCAATCTGTATTTGGCGCGAGTTAAGATTTTCTGGAGCCCATAATCAATTATTTTTGCATAATTTAAACGGCATCAACAAAACCCAGATCGGAACGGATTGACAAAACCCGGATCGGATTGACAAAACCCGGATCGGATTGACAAAACCCGGATCGGATTGACAAAACCCGGATCGGATTGACAAAACCCGGATCGGAACGGATTGGCAAAACCAGGATCGGATCGACAAAACCCGTATTAAACTAAAAACCTTTGTTTATACTTTGTTTATACTAAAAACCTTTGTTTATACTTTGTTTATTCGGTTCTATTAGGGAAGAATATCGATTTTGTCCATGAAAAACGTCGATGGACGTTTCTCTAGAGAGCCCCCACCCCCTAGAAATGTGACACATAGTTATCGATATTTTGTTCTTATCGTACACATAAGGTAATTTTCTGCGCCGGGTCGGCTATTGGCGATGCTTGCCCGCGCAAGAAATAATATGTCATCTTCTGCTGACATATGTTTTTTATTAAGATTATATGAACTTCAAAATTACCAACGTTTCTTAAAACAATTTTAGCGCGTTTTTCTTGAAATTTGAGTGTTTTCAATGCAAGGAAGACGCAAAAATATTAATGTTTAGAACAGGTATAGTATTACGAATGTATATACTGGTGTTTGTACCATGTTGTTTTCTTTTTTCTATTCTGCAAAGATGATTCTGAAATGTTAAGGCCTTTCGAAAAAACTATCGAATTTTTCCACGATGTTTTACAGAGAAAGGTCACAGCTGCAAACCCCACCCCCAAACGAGCATATGACGTCTCTCGTGGACAAATTCGATATGTGAGGCTTCCCTTAGAGGGAATTTTAATTAAAATGCTAATAGCAATACCGACATTCATTTATCTTGTTTTTTTATTAAACTACAGGTACAAGATTACAGTACAGTACCAAGTAAAGAATATCGACTCAATTTAACATGTGTGCTGTTTGTCCCAGATAGGGCCGATTACACGGGAGGTAATATAAAATGAATTTTACGATTACATGGAAAAAAATTCAACCGGCTGAGTTTCAGCACATGTTGAAATTTTCATCCCGGTTTTTGTCACCCGGGATGAGGTTTTCAGCCCTGTCAAATGGGATGAAATATCCCATGCAATCGCAAATAAATTCAGAGAATCGTTTGAATGGCTTTGTTTTGCAAATTGTCTCATCTTTAATATTTTATATGCAACCACACTTACACAAGTCATTTCAAATAGTCAACTAATCAGCGTTTTTCATGCTCAAAGAAGTGGAATATTTCCTTTTGTGATATGGTTTTCGTGATATTTTCAGCCCAGGGATACAAGGGATAAATATAGCTCTGACTAAGACAAGGGATAATAAATATACCTCTGACTAAAACTCAGCCCGGATTCAAAATGCCCATGTAATCGTGATGCCATTTCAGCTTGGTTAACCGGGCTGAAACTCAGCCCGGGCTAAAATCCTCCATGTAATCGGCCCTTAATCAATAGAACTTGTCCATAACTTTTACAATTTAACAATAACCACAATAAAGCGATCAACAACAATAAGAACAGGAAAAGCGATCAACAATGAGTCATCAGTACTTATTGTTTAGAATAAAGTTTCCATATGTTCGATAGTTTAATGGTTCAATAAAAAGGTTTTATTTATTTTTTCTTTGGTACAATTCCAAACTCTTCCAATAGCAATTCCTTGTGGGCATTAGTGAAACGAGAGTTGTCTGTTGGTGATATGACTATGTCTGTCCTCGGATTAAAGTTGTCATTTTCTGCATTATACACTCGTTCTTTAGGTGATAATGCGTTGGCCCGTAACGCACTTGGAGCTTACCATCTTTCGTAAATGATCTGTATTCTTTGGTAGCAGCAACAACATCGTTGGGAGCCTGGGGAACATCACCAGGAACACAAATCGCCGAGTTGTATCCATAACACTGATATGATTTGCTTTCCGAAAGCCAACGCAGGGTGTACTTTCCTGGAGTAGAAGATGAGGACGATGGTTGACTTTTCTTAGGGGCTGAGACTGTAGACGACGTTTTCTTTCGACCCTTGCGGACCATGCTTCCTTTCCGACCAAGTGGGCAAACATTGACATCCACGTTACTTACTTTTGTTAAATTTCTCTTCTTGGAAATCGGTTGCTTTGAATAAAACTCGATATCTTCATGTAAAGCATCTTCTCGCTCCGCAACTGCTAAAGCGTGTGAACATAGCTTCAGAGTTTTCCAGTTGGCACATTCGCATTCCACTCGACCAGTCTTACTGTCTGTGATAACATAATGAGGCCTCTCTTGGGAAAAACTTGTAACAGAAAACGTTGGGTTTCCATCAGATGTTGGGGGTCCTCGCCAAACACTTTTGTTTTCTAGAAGCAGCCGTGCTTTTTTTACCATCTCCTCACGAAGTGAACTTGAAATAACTTCCAAACGAGCATCTTCTTTCAAGTGATCAAGGCTTATATCTGAAGGCAACTCTTTTGAGTTGGGCGTTGATTCGATATTAGGAACCCACTGAAATGATCCCGGAGAATTTGCCGCATGTAGCTCTTCCATGCTGGCCAAACTCAGCTTGTTGATGTATCTAGTGCGTTCGTCTTGAGAGTGGATGAGGAAATCTGGTACAACAAACTTCTGGAACTCCTCGCGAAGTTGGAAATCTTCAGAGACTCCTGCCACTGCTTGAGCAAATTCCTCACTTTCAGTTTCAACGAGACGTTGGATAGCTTCGATAGTCCCACTAAATCCAGACGATTTGCGCTGCTTAATGGACTTCAGGCGGTTGTTATTTGATTCCGCATCATTTGTATAAAAATGAGAAGGGATGTTACCATCTTTAACCATTGGAGGAAGTCTTGCTGCCAAACGTACGCTTGCAATCATCCTTGTCTTCATCATATCGGCCCTTGCCTCTATCCATTTGTGGACTCTTTCAGCGGTGTCACCCCTTTCTTTCCACTTCATTCTGAGAGACTTAAGAGGGCCTCTCAGTAAAATCCACTCACTGATTTAGGGAAGGAGAAATAGATTTAGCTCATATTTTGCATATGAACTAGACTTTGGTCAATATTAATCGAGCTTCTTTCAGAACGTTTCAACTTTCTGTTTTATAGGAGTTATAGCCATGTTAAAATTTGACCTTGCGAGAATATTTTCAGACCGGAAATGAAGGGGAATTTTACAAGAATTCATCTGAATTTTTAAAAACGTTGTGATGCGTTTATCCCTTCAGTTACTGTTCTGAAATTCAAAAGCCATGTAATTTGAAAGTATACCTACTAAAGTTAAGTAATCAGGATTACAACTCGTCTGCAAGCAATTTTCTGAAAAGTTATAAATCTCCAAATTGGGTCTATTTTTAGCTGTTTGTTTACATTCGCGTGATTGCTGATCTGCGACACTAGTAATTGAAGAGTTAAAATAAGCTGATTTATTACCCATGAGTAAACTTTTTTAGCTTGTTCAAAAGAATATATACAATTTTGAGAAAATATAATTACAATATATACAAGCGATCGTGTACAGAACATTCTTGAATTTGAATTGCTTTACATTTATACTTAACTTTAATACACTTGCACTAATTATACACTTTCAATATACACATACAATAGTACAGTTACAACGAGTAGTACAGTGTCTACGACCCTGATATCTTCTAATGTTATTAAATAATATATTGGTAATATAATAAGAACTTTGTCAATACATTGACACAATACCATAATCTCCTGATTATGACCTTGATCTGCCGCTCCCACGGCGAGAGGTGCATGTCTGAACGACCAATGTGAATAGCAAACTTACATAAGTGTCTCTGTGCGATGTTTAGGTCATGAAATAGTGCTACAGGTAATATCGGTTTAATGCACTTTGCAGAAACTCCCATGATTTTGATGTCGGTCAATATGATAATCAGAATCCTGTTTTGCCGAAGGATTGCTATTTTTATGAAAATGCGTGTACTGTTCGAAGTCTAGCTCGATTAGACAAATTTGGGTAACGTTTGTTTATACCCAATCCACAACTTTATATAACACACATGCCTAGTTACTATGGTTCGAATTCTAGACTACAAAAGCATAAATTAGAACAAAGGTAACTAACTCTTATTGTTATATAGTCTTATAACTCTTATTGTTAGTTAGTGCCAAAGTTCAATTTTTCTATTTGCTGATTGTCAAAACCGTGTCACGTGCCGGTCCACAAAACCTCATGTTCGGCAACCGGTCGCGGCACTAACCCCTAACCACTAATCCCCTTATTCTAACCAGTAATCCCTAACTCCTAACCCTAACTTTTTTAACCGTTTTAAATGTTTTTAACTTTTTTAAAAATCTAACTTTTTAAACTTTTTTGCTTTTTAAAACTCTTTTAAAACTTTTTTAAAAACTATTTTTTTGAAAATCTCTGTCTATTACTGCAGTATTTCTGCTATTGTAGCGGTTAACAAACTATAGGGAAATACGATGACATAAGTTAAATTTCAAAACTTTTATGTGTTCATATGCAGTAAATCAAACGAAAAATGCATCCTTTGTTACAATTATTTAAAATATTACAAAAAGAAAAAAAACAACTAAATTTTATCGCCATATTTCTCCATAATTCGGCAACCGCTACAATAATGCCAAAGTCAAAACAAAATAGGAAATGACAACAGACTACAAAAGCAGAAGTGGGAAGGTTGTAGTATTTGGACTGCAATTATGTACAAAAATATACCTTAAAAAGATATTTAATAGTTGTGAAATTATTCATTCAAATAAGCCAAGAATGGTTAAGGTTGTATTTTTAATGTTTTTATGTTGTGAATTAGAACCTGGATAATAAACCAGCTTATTTAACTTTTTAATTATTACTAGTGTCGCTGATCAGCGAACACGCGAATATAAACCACCGGTCAGTATAATCTGCAGACTGCGGACCGCAGACTGCAGACCAAGTACAAAATGCAGAATATAGGTATAAATTGCAGGCTGAAATTACAGACTTGGTATATAAAATGCAGACTGTGAAAAAACATATATTTTAACATGTCGTACTATCATGAAGTTCAAATTATTTTATACAACTTCGAGTTTTGTGGTCATTGTCGATGCATGTTATTAGCCGTTTTCACATTAGAAGACGGACAAGTCGTCTAGACGAACAAATCGTCTCAAAATCGTGTTTTAGTCGTACAAATATCAGATGTGAAAACGTGTCGGACAAAATTTTAGACGAACAAGTCGTCTGAATTTGTTCGACTACTTGTCCGTCTGTGAAGACGATTTTTGAGAGACGATTTGTTCGTCTAGACGACTTGTCCATCTCTAATGTGAATAGGGCTAATGTATAAGCTTTGTATGCTTTATATAAAAAGGTTTAGAATGATTTTTAAGATATTTTAGTGAAAATTATTGCAAAATTTAACCACAAAAAAATCATAATATTACTGC